CTTGAAGACAGCAGAGATGTTTTTGGAACCATGGCCAGATCTGTGCCTTGCCACAATCCTGTCTCTGAGCTCTTCAGGCAGTTCCTTTGACCTTTGACCTCATGATTCTCATCTGCTCTGACATGCATGGTGAGCTGTAAGGTCTTCTATAGACAGGTGTGGCTTTCCTGGTCAGGTCCAATCAGAATCAAACACAGCTGAACTCACTGAAGGTGTAGGACCATCTCAGGGATGATCAGGAGAAATGGAAAGCACCAGAGTTAAATATGAGTGTCACAGCAAAGTGTCTGAATACTCAGGACCATGTGATGTTGCACAACACAGGGTGGTGTCATGATCACATGGGGAGTCACTGCAGAGCTTCGGCTGGCAACTATATGAAAATGAAATTACAGGCCGTAAGTTTGGCTGTGCTAACAGAACCAGCTGAGGGAACGTTCTAGTTTGTTCGTACTGCTCTATGTTCTGTGTTTCCATGTGGCTGAAGTGAGGCGTCCTCTCTTACCCGTCACATTGACTTTCAGCTCCAGACAGCGGTCCTGGCTGACTGGTACTGTAGACCTTTTAGTTACCACTCCACTCTTCACGGTCTTGGGTATGACAGCCCCACTGCTACGTGCAGAACTGGACCGGAGCAGATGAGTCTCAGTGCTGTCAGACGCCTTACCAACGTGCACCTGCAGGAAGTCCTGCAAACGCTGCAGCCAGTCAAAGATGACAAAGACCCTGAGGTTGTTGAGGACCATTGTAAAGCAAGATGCATCCCGCGTGGATCTGTGGGGACAAGAAGTTCAGTCAAGACTCCTCTTTGGGTGGAAACCTTTTTACCTGTATTCACCTGTATTCACCTGTATTTACTTGTATTCACCTGTATTCACCTGTATTTACCTGGATTTACCTGGATTCACCTGTATTCACCTGTATTCACCTGTATTCACCCGGATTTACCCGGATTTACCCGGATTTACCCGGATTCACCCGGATTCACCCGTATTCACCCGTATTCACCCGTATTCACCCGGATTCACCTGGATTCACCTGTATTCACCTGTATTCACCCGGATTCACCCGGATTCATCTGTATTCACCTGTATTCACCTGTATTCACCTGTATTTACCTGTATTTACCTGTATTTACCTGTATTCACCTGGATTCACCTGTATTCACCTGTATTCACCTGTATTCACCTGTATTCACCTGTATTTACCTGGATTTACCTGGATTCACCTGGATTCACCTGTATTCACCTGTATTTACCTGTATTTACCTGTATTCACCTGTATTCACCTGGATTTACCTGGATTTACCTGGATTCACCTGTATTCACCTGTATTCACCTGTATTCACCCGGATTTACCCGGATTTACCCGGATTTACCCGGATTCACCCGGATTCACCCGTATTCACCCGTATTCACCCGTATTCACCTGGATTCACCTGGATTCACCTGTATTCACCTGTATTCACCCGGATTCACCCGGATTCATCTGTATTCACCTGTATTCACCTGTATTTACCTGTATTTACCTGTATTTACCTGTATTCACCTGGATTCACCTGTATTCACCTGTATTTACCCGTATTTACCCGTATTTACCCGTATTTACCCGGATTTTCCTGGATTCACCTGTATTCACCTGTATTCACCTGTATTCACCTGTATTTACCTGTATTTACCTGTATTCACCTGTATTCACCTGGATTCACCTGGATTCACCTGTATTCACCTGTATTTACCTGTATTCACCTGTATTTACCTGTATTTACCTGTATTTACCTGGATTCACCTGGATTCACCTGGATTCACCTGTATTGTGTTTTCCTATTCTCTAAGGGTGGATTACACCAATAGGGTTTAACTTTAAACTCAGATTTAATCACGGTTTAAGTGTAAACCTGATTTAAATTAGAACGGATCACATTTTGAACTCAGTTCAAGTTTGGCACCAAACTGAGTTTCAATCCAAGCCTGTTGCACCAGAACTTAGACCCCAGTTTAAACTAGGATCTTGGATTAATTTTAATCCAGCTGAGGAGGACATTTTACTTTAGCAATGGCTGGATTTTTGAGGTGAATCTAGCAAAGAAATTTGAGAAACCCATCCATCTATTTTCAGCTGCTTATCCGGGGTCATGTGGCGGGGGCAGCAGCCCAAGCAGGGAGGCCCAGACTTCCCTCTCCTCGGCCACTTGGGCCAGCTCTTCCAGGGGAATCCCGAGGCGTTCCCTGTGCAGGTGAGAGACGTAGTCCCTCCAACGTGTCCTGGCTCTTCCCTCGGGTCTCCTCCCGGTTGGACGTGCCTGGAAAACCTCACCAGGGAGGCATCCTGACCAGATGCCCGAGCCACCTCAACCGGCTCCTCTCGATGTGGAGGAGCAGCGGGTCTACTCCGAGCCCCTCCCGGATGACTGAGCTTCTCACCCTACCTCAAGGGAGATCCCAGACACCCTGCGGAGAAAACTCCTCTCAGCCGCTTGTATCAGTGATCTCGTTCCTTC